TAACTATTATATGCAGAAGACAGTCTATTATCAGTAAATTTACTCATTTCATAGGGATATCTGAATTTTTTTTAAGTATCTTTTCAAAATAATTTCACAGTATGAATTGAATAAATGTTGGAAGAACTGATTCTTCCCTTCAGCACTACCTCAGATCATTTAGCAGAAATATCCTTTCATCTCCACTGGAGCTGGGACAGGAAGGCAGAGGGGGGCACCTAGGCTTTTATGGTCAGCGTCGAAGTCACCGCTGCCCTAACTTCCCAAGGTGACAACTCATGACAATGGCTGAGTGCTATGCAGTGCTGGATGTTCCCATATTTGCTGCAGTTTTTGTTTGTAGCTCAGGAGCTGCAGCCATTTGTACTTTTTCAGAGTGAAGAGAGCTGTGATTTACTGACTGGAAAGGACTTGCTCCAGGCCAGAGAGCAAATTTTACCATTGCCTGTTGCCCCTGACCCCATCTGTCTGTTTTTACTCACTGACTCTATGCCTGTCTCCTGCTGCAGGATGCAATCAGTCCCATGGCTGGAATTTGGCCAGGAGACAGTGGCTAACACTCCCACCCCATTTTTTATGCAAACTTGATTTATGACTTTGATCTTATTTTAAATAATTTAAAAATTAAATAATTTATACAGTATCTGTCACTTTCCAAGGCTCCTTCCTTTGTTCTTGCTTTGCTCTTCTGCCTTTTCTCATCTTCCAAACCCTTTTTGGTCTGTGCACGTTTCCTTTTCTGCATGGTGGGGCAGCAGTGACATGAGACAGCTGCTAACTACTTGCCACTGTCTTCATAGAAAGACCTGCAGAAACTTTTGCCACTGTTGCTTATTTGGACCAGGACTATTCTGCCACCATTCATACTCTGGTTTGACCTTTGCTGCCTATGATTTTGGACCTGGCCACCCCATCACTTACCAGGGACAAAGAAGGTGCACTGTGCTGATCTGAGCTGGAGTGTGTGCCTGGTGGTTCGTTCTTGACTCGCGACAAATCAAAGGTGGTGCCACCTACCATCAGTCTCCTTCTCTCTAGCCTGAGCTCAGATCTGTACCTCAAGCTGGCCTTAACTGAGTTTGCAGAAACAGCTATCAATACTCAGCTGATGTAGATCCATAGTAACTTGACAACAGAAAGGGCTGGTGCCCTATACATGTGTGAACTAAAATAAATAATTGCCCCATAAAAGGGGAAGTTAAATGAGCATGGGAAGATATTGCTGAAAAGAAAAAAAACCTAAACCAATCAAAAAACCCCTGAAACAAATTAATATAGTGTTTCTGGGAGCTTGAGGGAGCCATGAAACCTGACTTGCCTTGAGCTGCATACCAAAGAGGTGAGTGAGGTGGCTCTGATGTGACTTTCCGTGCCACTGAAACAGCACACAGAGTTAGTGCCAAGCATTGTCTGGTCTGTGTGCATGTGGCACATGAGGAGGGGAGGCAAAAATCGCACACAGAGGAGAACCCCCTTTGCTTCCTTATTTTTTTGCCTCTGGATCTGAGGCCATATGGCTGCTGCACACAAAGACTGACCCCAAGGACTAGTTGCTTAGCTGAGGTGAGGCCGTCGCTGCTATCAAGGTTAAAGTTGCTTAAGCTGAGCTTGAGCGGCTTGGCAGCGAGCAGCAGCAGGGAGTGAACTTTGACATGGCCATTTGCTGAGCAGCAAAGGAGGTAACTTAAAGAGAAGCTGGGTCCCAAAGCAGTCCTGGTCACAACAGAAATGACTATCAGTCAAACACTGATGGACCGAGACCCTCAGCTCCCTCTCCTCAGTGGTGCTGCTGGGTTTGCACTTCCACAGCTGCCCAGTAATCCCTCAAACAGCTGCACTGTGGGTTTGTGCTGCAGTGGCCACCTTGATGCATGGACACCTTTTTGCAGAAGCTAATCCAGTCCCGGTGATGTGCATGGTGCCTCTCTGGGGAAGATTCAGCAAGAAACTGCTACCTAGGGGACTTGGCAACCTCCTCCATGGGGACGCACCATTAGAAACTATTGATTAACCAGCTCTCATGGGACTGCTTGGGAACTCTTATATGAAGACAACAGTCAAGCTTGGACTGCAGCGGGATAGCTGGGAGGACAGGTTACGAGTACAAATCAGAGAGCCTAGTGTCTCATGCTAGTCCTGGCCTTACTACTAAGCACTGAGGCAGTTGTTAAACTTGTGTTACCATCATAACCCTGTGTGAAAACCCATGGAATGACAGCATAAGAAAGAGCCGTGTCCCTGAGGGAGAAGGGAAAATAAATAAGTCTGATCATCAGCTTTCTTTGTACTTGGGGAAATGAGACCAGGGGGTCAAACGATTCACCCAAGGTCACACGAGTTGCTGGTGGCAGTGGCATCAGCTGTCACCGCTGTCCTAGTCTTGCATTTTCACTGTTTCACCTTCCCTCCTCTTGACTTGCCTTAGCTCTTCAACTTCAGTTCGGGCTGAATAAAACTGCCCCCTCCCCTTTCCCTCTCCCCCTATCGATCCCTCCATCTCCCGCTGGCATTTACGAGGTGCCAATCACCCTGATGTCTAAGAACCAGCAGTCCAAGGTGGATTAATCGGGACTGAGGGAACATCACAGAGCATCCGCGCTTCCTTCCTTCCCTTTTGTGTGAGACCGCGAGATGAAGCAGATAGGGAGAGACACAGATAGGGAGGCTGATTGAGAGACAGCATCTGAGCACGCTCTGGGTGTACAGGCGCCACACAGAAATGTGATCCCATCGTTTAGACAGCTCTCAAGTCCCCAGGGTAAATGGTGTCACGGGCTTGTCATATCCAATGGGTCAAAATCTAAAAATTATTCTTTCCCCTCTTATTAGCGTATTTACCAGAAAAAAGAAGAAAAAAAAGAAAAAAAAGAAAAAAAAAAGAGGATGGGTCCAATCCTGTTTTCACAGAAATCAATAGCAAAAATATTCATTAATTTCAAGTGGAGCGGGAGCAGACCTAGGAATTATTTTCACTGTTTCTTCAGACATGAATCCTAACTCAAGCACTTATCCTCACAATGTCCTATATTATCTGGTGAGAAATAGATGGAACGAACTTTTGTGGTGTAAAGGCGAGAAGACCTCATCCTCTTTTGTACCAGTATAAACCTAGGCTGACCTTATTATCATGGCAATTAGAAGAATTACTCTACATTAAAAATGATGAGAGAAGAGTTTTTGGTCCAGAGCACCAGGACAGTGGTGTGTTTACCACCTCTCCAGCTGCCTGATCAATGCCTAGAGCATAACTCTGAAACCACATCTCGTACCTGACCACCTCTGCAGATGTTTGTCCCCAGCTACCTACGGGTTGCCTCCTGTTAATTCCTCTGGTACATGGGGTACGGATGCTGCATCTCCCTGCCAGGCTGCTGGCCACTGGCCTGGGCTCAGCTGTGATTTACTGTCTCTCTTCCCCTTCCTGCAGCTTTCCCCAGCCAGGAGGACAGTTAAACACAGCCAGGCTGGGGAAGGGACAGCTCTTCTGTTGTGCGAGGAGGGGAGCAGGGGACAAAGGAAAAGGCAAAGATTCTCTTTGACTGGCAATAAAAATGAATAGGGGGAAATGGAAGGAAAAATGGAATTTGTCTAGTGGGAAAGGAATAAAAGAAGTTCAGAATAGCACCAGGGGCTACATCTTGACTCTACCTGGCCCATGCAAAGGGCAGGCTGGGTGGTGTCAAGTGTCCAGTGAGGCACTTGACACTCAGTGGAGGACAGAAGTTTCTAGGCCCTCAAGTTAGAAAAAGATCATGTGGACGTGATGGGAAGTTTGTGGTGCCAACATATGAGAGGGAAATAGGTAGGGAAGAAAGCAGAGCCTTGTGGTCAATGTGCTGGAAGGAGTATGGGTACACTGGAATGTGGTTCCTGAATTGTCCCAGTAATACCTTATGCAAGTCATTTGGTCTGTTTCATTCAGAAGATGTTACTCTGGAAAATGGGATTACTGGTACATCCCTCCTGCACACAAATCCAGCACAGAGTACAAGAGGGCCACATTTTCCCACCAAATGGATGAAACACCTAGATGTACTGTCACTGCCTGCAAATGCTCCTGTTTCATCCACTCTAGTGAAAGCACACAAAGTCACCTGGCAGTATTGTATCTGCCTGCTGCAGGGATCACCTCCACCTTCCTCTGAAATATCTGGCAGAGAGACCAAGTTACCTGACCCTGATCTTTCTTGCAGGTCGTTGTTAATTGCAGCCTAAGTTAAGGTAGTTATGCCAGAGGCATCCATTTCAGGGCTTCGTCAGGAGCCCAGTTCCCTGTACAGTCACATTTTCTCCAGAGCCCAGGGTCCAAGTTAGATATATAAGTAGGATTCCTGAAGTTAGGCAGTGCAACACTACTTTAAATAGATGATGCGTTTTCCCAGTGTGCTTAAATCATACTGTTTTGGGGAGCCAGGATTCTATGTCTGCATATGTTTGCTTGTCCATTTTAGTATTATCCAGCAAGCTTTCATGAACCTGAAAGCATTTCTGTCAACAGCTGCCATTTTATCCAGTGACCACTCCAAAACCAACAATGCATGGGGCAGCCGGGGCCTGGACATCTCTGGTCGTGTGGCCTCTGGCAGAGGAGGGCCAGAAAGCTATGTGTGCCCTCACAAACCTTCTCTAGCACCAGGTGGTGCTGACATGGGACAGACAGCTAGCATGAGCTGAATTCAGGGCCTATTTTATCCAAAACTCAAATTATATTTGTGTTTGGATTTGACAGCAATGGCTTAGACCCCATAGGAAGTGTCTTGCATGGGTACACACATGACCACGGTTTGGTTACTGCTAGAAGCAGGTATTGCACCTCTGAGGCAGATGTCTTCTCCTACCTCAGATGGCATGGCTCAGTTTACTCCCATTGTTTAAGATTTAAAGGAGAAATCACTGGTTCCTCCTCTGCTCAGTTGTTCTTCTGCTCACTTGTGCTTTGTGCCATTTCAAGTGCTACCCTTGTTCCTGTGAACATGCATAGAACCAGTGTCTATACTTACTGCCTGTGCATAGGCGCCATACGCTCCAAATTGGATGGCCATAGGGTTGAACATGCCCATTTGTCCTGCCATTTGCTGCATGCGCCTCATTGTACGCTCCTTGTCTGTATCTGCAAACTTCACCACCAGGCTTGAAGAGGCTCCCTGAAGGACAGGACACAAAAGGAGACACACAAGTTAATTAGCTAGGTACACACTGGCTCATGCAATCCATACAACTAACACAGATTTGGGAGTGTGTGGTCCACCTGATGCTGATTTTTCCCACGCAACCGCTCAGGCCATTTGAATTGGACCTTTGCAAGAGGCTGAGAGCATTGGGAAGGAAGGGAAGGACCCTGAAGGGTGAAGAGCTGAGGCCAGCAGTCCAGGTCCTAGTTTCCTCCAAAACTCAAACTTCCAGGCTGTCATTAATGTTCTCTCTGCAGAAGTTGTTGATTTATTCCTTCAACATACAGAAAACCTTCTGGCCCAGTAGGTTGTTCTCATCAGAGGACAAAGATCTGGACTTGGTGCAGCAAAATGTAGAAGCTTTTGTGGGATGAATGTGGTGGGATTTGTGAACTGATTTATTTTGATGGAATGTGTTAGCTCTGTGCGTGCCAGACACGCTGATCTGGATCACCCTTTCACACTGCTGTGTCTTGTAACCCCCATGTCCACTAAGAAATCCGTGCCCAGCCTTGGAGACAGGATGCAGTATGCTGGGCAGGGTGTATGTCTCATCACCAAGCAGCATCTCTTTAGCACTGTTAAATTAGGGGAACAGAAATAGTACCTGATGGACCTGAGTTTCCTCTCCATAAACATTTAATATTACACCTTTCTGGGCAAATTTTACAGTGTCTGGGTTATGTCTGCACTTAACACTGGTGCAGAACTACAGGTGATTATCAGAGCTGGCTACAGAAGTCTGTGAAAAATGTAGAGTTTTTGGGAATGAAAGAAATCCCTCTCCTCTCCAAAATGAGATGAAAGGTCAGTAATTGTGATAGGTGGCAGAGACAGGAAGAAATAGATCTGCTTAGGAAGGAAGGCACTGATACTTTTTTTGGCTGGCTCCAAGGGCATCCTAACTTCATGGGTTGATTCCCCACAGCGCAGATTCCCCAGGGGAAGAGGGGTGCAGGGGAGGGAGGATCCGGCAGCAGCAGTCCGGACAGCAGGCAGAGAGTTGCCTGGGGACCTGGGCTGCCACAGAGCCTGGGGAGATGGGCAGGTGAACTGTCAGGAGACTGACAAAGAGCAGCTGAAATCATTACACTCCCATGGTACGCTTCCCTTTTGACACACTGGTATTCACTGATGGAAATACAGTCAGTGGGGAAATTGCCGGCTCGGCCTCTGGCTGCAGCAGTAGAGGAAGACCAGCTCCATGTCGGAGGAGCTGGGCTGTTGCAGGGTCTTCGTTTTTCTAGCAGAGGTGGGATTGCCTGGGATTGCACAGGGGGAACGTTATTAACTGAATTACCTACACCCCTACATACCTGTAACCAGAAAAAAATAGTCTTGATGAAAGCAGAGTTGCTTTGCTACAAACTGGGAGTAGCACAGTAAACCACAACTATGGATGTACATATATATAAGTCCAAGCTATGCATATTCAATAGCCTCTGCAGATTCTCAGTTATGAATAAAGACTTGAGGAATTAACTTGCTAAGGAAAAAAACACAAAAAATCTAAGGCCATACAATGAGCGATGTTCCCCTGGATTAGCAGCCTGTTCTGGGAGGAAGTGATTTTCATTGGCAAAGAATCTTTCTTTTTGACCTGTTAGTCTCTCTCTAATAAATCTATAAACTGCTCAAACAATGTGGTGAAGAGCAAGGGGTTGCAAGAAGTGCTTCAGGAAAACAACAGGATGGAGAAATGAATCCTCCATCCAAGGGTGGAGAGCAGTCTTCAGAAGCCATTATAGGAGCAAAAGAGAAAGGGTGGGGTGGGGGGGGAGTCAGGGGAAAGAAAAAAAACCTAGCCAAAAATCCCTTGCATTTCTGCTCAAGGCTGGGTGACTTTTCATTTTTTAAAATCACATGGTGTAGTTATTGATCCTTCCCCGAATCACACTCTTAATTGCAGCTCATCGACAAATGAATATTTTAATGCATACATTTCCTGCTAATTATCACCTGGACCAGTCCTTAATTAGATTTCAACACTCATTTAATTAACCCTGATCCAAGAGACTGTTTGGTAACCTGAATCTAATGATTTAAACCTATTTGCAGCTGTATTGGAGGGAGGCAGTGGTCCACAGCAGATTGGGCTGTTCAGAGCTGCTGTCATGATTTGCAGAGCAGAGGCTGCAGCATGGTGGGCACAATACAGCACGGAGGATTTTGAAACTGAAAAAGGTGAATGAGTATTCCTCTCTGCAAATGGATTTTGAAAATATGACCTGGTCTAGCTAGGAGGACAGAGAACTGTAAATAAGTTGGTGTCTTCTTCCTTCCCCTTTTCTTTCTATCTCTATTTTCCCTTGAAGTCTTAGGTCCAGAGAACTGCCTCAGGAAATTGCTGATGCCTCACACTGTTGAAAACCAAGCTATTATTGTAGATGGCATCATGCAAACATGGGTAACCTCCACATGAAGTTCTTGCCCCTGGAGTGTTCTTCCCTCCTGATGTGAGTCATAGTGACTGCACAGAAGCCATTTGACCCAATGGGATCTAAGACTGCCTTTTACGAGATGTTTTTCTGGGTTGCCTGTCGCAGCAGGATTTCAGGCATCTTTGAACATCACTATCATATACACAGGGCAGAAAGGCCATTGGCAAATAGAAGCAAGTTAGAGCACACACTATAAAGAAAGAGGAGGAAAAGGAGGTCTTTTTAAGAGCGCTCCACAATGAGATGCGCACGTAAGAGGTTAAAGATATGTAGCTAATAGAGATGCTGCGTTGCTCTTGAATATGAAGATTGACCTTGGGATTGATGCTTTCTGTGTGTGGTTCCTCATGTGCAGCCCTTTCACGTGGCCCAAAGGAAATCAGGCAGTAAACTCTATCAGATCACCCAGTCCAGGATTTTTAGCAGAGAAGCCAAACAGTGCTGTTCATCTACAGCAGAACAAGACTACTTTCTACTCCAGTGACTCCTACTAATCCACTGGATAACATTAGAAATGACCCAGAATGGGCCAGATTTTACATGAGGTAAAAACTGCAGAGCCACTCATCTGCACTATTTATTGCTTCCGCAAGCAGTTAAACCATGGTGTAAATCAGCCATTGTCTGCTGACAAAGGCAATAGGTCCTGTCTACTGGGTCATTTATTAGTAATACATAATCTCCTTCTTGCTCTCTCCGCTTGTTGGACTGGACCTTATATTTCCACAACCCCCAAGAGACTTACAGTGGGTAAGTCAACAGTGACTTTGAGATCTGTGTGTTGATTCTGCATTTTACTGAGGGAAGGACCTGTTTATTTCTCTACCTTGCAGATCCACAGTCAAAAGAGACTATCATGAAAGCGAGCATTCCAGCAATAGGCTACTTGGAATTGGCATTTATCTCCTTTCCCATCAAATCAACCTCCTTTTTCAAGTGCTTTGATATCTACTGATGAAAAGAATAGGATAAGGGCTAAGTATTATTATGCTTTCCCTATTCTCTCTTGGGCCAGAAAGTCTACTTAATATGACTATCTTGCTTCCTGTCCCCCTCCTGTGCACGGTAATGAATTGCTCCCCTTAGTCAGCAGAGTCAGATGCTCCCTAGGTTGGCGGGACAAGGGAAAAGATGGAGGAAAAATCACCCTGTTCCTCACTCACTTTGTAATCCCTAATCAGAGTCCTCTGTGGGAAAAACTAATTTCCCAGCCTGTCTTGATGTGTGAAATAAAATCATTCTTGAAAAAGGAAGCTTGACAGGTTGCTTGTGAAATTTCATATTCAACTAACAATAAAATATACATCCATTGATATTTCATTTAAAGGCAAAGGAAAACAAATCTTTTGTCTGGTTGCTGGGACTGTTTCCCATTACTTCTGGCCTTCCAAATGGAGTGTATGCACAAATTAAGCAAAAGCTTTTCAGGAGACCAAATAATACTGCACAGCATCAGGGAGAGCTGCTTCTCCCTAGAACAATATTCATAGGAATTTTGTGAAGATGTTTCCTTGCAGAATATATGCCTGAATTTTCTTATCTTGTCAGCCCTATAGGTCTCCTCTGACTCAGTAGGTTACTGTTCTTTACAGATAGTTAGACCTCTTTTTCCTGCAAAACTGATGAATTTGGGCCTAATTCGCCAAAGCCATTAAATCATGTTTTACTTTAGGCTTAACGGAGGTAAGCACACACTTAAGCACTTTACTGCAAGGGTGTCTCTCTCATACAGGTGGACTTTTATACCTTGGTTAGTTCAAATGGAGCAAGTTAAAAGTTCTGGGCCAAAAAGGGTTTGTTGCATTAAAGCTTCAGTGACTAAAGCTCTTGAGAATATGAGATCTGAATGTGCAGATCCTGTTAACTATCTTCCAAAATGTCAGCCGTGCACACCAGCCAAGATGCTTAAATGAACATGTGCTGCTGGATACTTCTCATTTGGGCAATCAGACTAACTTCGTTAAGTGTCACCATGTGAATAGGGCTGCTTGTGTTGGAAATTTTGCGACTGCAAAGTGGAGTTGAGAGGTTGCTGACCTTCAGCAAGCCACTAGGTAAAAAACTGGCTGGATGGCTGTGCCCAAAGAATGATGGTGAATGGACTTAAATCCAGTTGGTGGCTGGTCACAAGTGGTGTTCCCCAGGGCTCAGTACTGGGGCCAGTTCTCTTTAATATCTTTATCAATGATCTGGACAAGGGGATTGAGAGCACCCTCAGTAAGTTTGCAGATGTGGGAGTATTGATCTGCTTGAGGGTAGGAAGGCTCTACAGAGGGCCCTGGACAGGCTGGATCGATGGGCCAACGCCAACTGTATGAGGTTCAACAAGGGTCTGTGCTGGGTCCTGTACTTGGGTCACAACCACCCCATGCAACACTACAGGCTTGGGGAAGAGTGGCTGGAAAGCTCCCTGGTGGAAAAAGACCTGGGGGTGTTAGTCAACAGCTGGATGAACGTGATCTGGCAGGGTGCCCAGGTGGCCAAGAAGGCCAACAGCATCCTGG